CTTAGTTAATGGTGAAAGGTGTGGGTCCAGTTTCAGTCATCTACAGGTTGCCAGCCAGTTCACCCAGCACCATTTGTTGAATAGGGAATCTATTCCCCACTGAATGTTTTTAATTGGCTTGTCAAAGATCAAATAACGGTAAGTAGCTGGATTCATCTCTTGGTTCTCTGTTCTGTTCCATACATCTACCTCTTTGTTTTTGTGCCAGTACCATGCTGTTTTGATCACTATTGATTTATAGTATAATCTGAGGTCTGGTAGTATGATTCCTCCTGCTTTGTTTTTATTTCTGAGTAAGGTCTTGGCTATTTGAAATTTTTTCTGATTCCATATAAAATGAAGTATTATTTTTTTGAGATCTTTAAAGTATGCTGGTAGAGCTTTAATAGGAATTGCATTAAAATTGTATATTGCTTTGGGTAGTAGGGACATTTTAACAGTGTTGATTCTTGCCATCCATGAGCATGGTATGTTTTCCCATTTGTTAATATCTTCACCTATTTCTTTTCTTAGAGTTTCATAGTTCTCTTTATAGAGATTTTTCACGTCCTTTATTAGGTAAACTCCCAAATATTTCATCTTCTTTGATACTACTGTGAATGGAATAGAGTCCTTGACTGTTTTTCTGGCTTGGCTGCGGTTGGTATATATAAAGGCTACCAATTTATGAGTGTTAATTTTGTAATCTGAGATGTTGCTGTATTCCTTGATCACTTCTAAGAATTTTATAGTAGAATCCCTGGTGTTTTCCAGATATACAATCATGTTATCTGCAAAGAGTGAAAGTTTGATCTCTTCTGATCCTATATGGATACCCTTGATTGCCTTTTCTTCCCTAATTGCGATGGCTGAAGCTTGCATTACAATGTTAAGGAGCAGTGGAGACAGTGGGCAACCTTGCCTGTTTCTTGATCTGCGTGGAAATGATTTCAGTTTAACTCCATTCAATACAATATTGGCTGTGGGTTTGCTGTAGATGGCCTCTATCAGTTTAAGAAATGTCCCTTTTATACCAATTTTCTTAAGTGCTCTGATCATGAAGGGATCCTGGATATTATCAAAAGCGTTTTCTGCATCAAATGAAAGCATCATATGGTCTTTGTCTTTTAATTTGTTTATGTGCTTAATTATATTGATAGATTTACGTATATTGAACCAGCCTTAAGACCCTGGGATAAAACCCATGTGGTCATGGTGTTTTGTTTGATGTGTTGCTGGATTCTGTTGGTTAGGATCTTGTTGAATATTTTTGCATCAATATTCATTAGTGATATTGGTCTTTTCTTTTCTTGTTGGGTCTTTTCCTGGTTTGGGTATCAAGGTGATGTTTGCTTCATAGAATATGTTGGGTAGTATTCCTTCTTTTTCTGTATTTTAGAAAATATTTTGGAAAAGGTTGAGTAATATAGGTACTAGTTCCTCTTTAAATGTTCGGTAGAATTCTGACATGAAGCCATCTGGTCCCGGGCTTTTCTTTTTAGGGAGATTTTGTATAGTTGATGCAATTTCAGTACTTGATATAGGCCTGTTCAACATTTTCACTTCCTTCTGGCTAAGTCTTGGAAAGTGGCATGCTTCCAAGTATTGGTCAGTTTCTTTCAGATTTTCATATTTCTGAGAATAAAGTTTCTTGTAATATTCATTAAGGATTTTTTAAATTTCTGAGGGTTTTTTTTTGTTATTTCATCTTTACTATTTCTGATTGATGAAATTAGAGATTTTACTCTTTTTTTCTTGGTTAGGTTATGCAAATCAAAACTACTTGCAGATATCATCTAACTCCAGTAAGATTAGCCCACATCACAAAATCTCAAAACCAGAGATGTTGGAGTGGATGTGGAGAAAAGGGAACACTTCTACACTGCTATATTCCTTTTGGAAAGATGTTTGGAGAACACTTAGAGAACTAAATATAGACCTGCCATTGGATCCTACAATTCTTTTACTAGGTATATATCCAGAAGACCAAAAATCACATTATAACAAAGATATTTGTACCAGAATGTTTAGTACAGCCCAATTCATAATTGCTAAGTCATGGAAGAAGCCCAAGTGCTCATTGACCCACGAATGGATCAATAAATTGTAGTATATTTACACTGTGGAATATTATGCAGCCTTAAAGTAAGATGGAGATTTTACCTCTTTCATGTTTACATGGATGGAACTGGAGCATGTTCTTCTTAGCAAAGTATCTCTAGAATGGAAGAAAAAGTATCCAATGTACTCAGTCCTACTATGAAACTAATTTATAGTTTTCATATGAATGCTATAACCAAATTATAGCCTAAGAAGAAGGGGAAAGGGAGGAGAGGGGAGAATGGGTGGAGGGAGGGTAATTGATGGGACCACACCTACAGTGCATCTTACAAGGGTACACTTGAAACTTACTAAATGTAGACTATAAATGTCTTAGCACAATAACTAAGAAAATGCTATAAAGGCTATGTTAACCAGTTTGATTAAAATATTTCAAATTGTATATAAAAGCAGCACATTATACCCCATGACTGCATTAATGTATACAGCAACAATTTAGTAAAAAAAAATAATAAAAGAACCAAACCAGAGTGCATTAGCAACTAGATATATAAGTTTGGAATAGGAAACTGTGAGCATGGAATAAGCAACAAGAACATGAGGAAAGTCAGAGGGAGCCTAGGGGCTAAATGATATAGAGCTTTTTAGTTGTTTGGGGGAAGACCGGCTCAATTGGCCCAGAGGAGTCAATTGTGATCTCACTGCTAAATCAGTCAACCCAATAAAGCCATGTTGCCATTGGGATTAATAGGCAGTGCCCACATCAAAGACTCCAACTCACACCTGTTTTCCACACTTCCTTCCCTTGGTTTTGTGACTCCACATTCTCTTTGCTGTCCACCTTCTCGTTGGCTATGTGGACTCATCTCCCTTGCTGGCTCCTTTTCTTTCTGACAAGAAATGCTGCATTGTGCTGGGGCTCCATCCTTGCACTCTTTTCTTCTTTCTATACCTTTCTCCTTTGACCATTGTTTTTAATGCCACCTATGTGTTACTGACTCCAGGATATGCACCTTTGGCTCAGACTGCAGTTTCCTATTGCAAACTTATATATCCAGTTGCTTATTTGACATATCTGTACATCCATTTTATGGGTCCAGGAGGGAATCCCTGACCTTTTCTGTCAAATCTGCTGGTCTGAAGATTTGCCATCTCATTTGACAGCCATTCCATTCTTCCTACTGCTCTGTCCAGAGCCTCTTGGGTTATCCTGGATCTCTTGGTTTGTCTTACACTCTCCATGCAGGAAATTCTATTGGCTCTGCCCTCTAAGTATGCCAGAATCTTACTTCTTCTTGACATCATTGTTACTACCACCCTCATACAAGCCACCATCTCTTTCTGGGTTATTAAAATAGGTTTTACCCACTATAATCTATTCTTACTGTAGCCCGACGGTAACTTGGACAGCCAAAGTCAAATCGTGTCATTCCCCTGCCTATTCAGAAGAAAAGTTGCAGTCCCTACAATAACTAAAAAGCTCTACATCATTTGGCCCCTAATCTCCCTCTGACTTTCTTTCCTCATGTGTCTTCTTCTTTTTTCTTTTATTCCAGGGGAGAGCATGAATGCAGTCCCCCGCTACCACAAATTTGCAGTTGAGTTTCCCTTATTTGGGGAAATTGCAGGGATCAGCACATCTAGAGTGCAATAGATAAGCCTCACCCTGGGAAAACCACCTTCACCATCATGGTATCTACTGCCGGGTAAGTAGGTTATTCTTGTTGCTGATTCCACACTCACTACACACTGTTTTCTTGCTCCTGATATACAGGCAAGCGCTTTAGGGTCCTTAATTTTTCAATTTGCTGGAATGCTCTTGTTTCCTTATTTCTTCTTAGATATTTCTCTTACATTCTTCAATTCTTGTTCATATCTCACTTTTAAAATAAAGCTTAATAAATAAGTTGAAAATGTGTTTAATAAATATTGGTTGAATAGATGAAGAGACTACGTGTAATCATAGAGAGGATTCAGTTTCAAGAAAAGACGAGCAACTAAATTCAGTGCTGCAACTAATTTCATCCCTCATACTCATGACCCTCTTCATCTGCTCTCATTTTATCCCCATGCAAACATACCAATTTCCAACATGCTATCAAGTTAGTTATTATTAGACATAGATTGTTTCTGTCTCTATAAGGTATAATCTCAACCTGGACACCAATACTTAACTGATCTGTTCAATGATATGTTCCAAGTGCCAGGAACAGTGTCTTGCTTTAAAAAAAGTGCTTAATAAATACATGTATTTGTTAGATGAATGAGGAGATTATTAGTCCCCAACATAAGGAGGAGTTACTTTCAAGAAAAGATTGGTCAACAGTTCCAAAATTTACTTAGTGATAAATTATGAAATGCACTTTAACTCTTGGTTTTAACTCTTAGGATATCATTTGTCACCTTAATCATTTGAAGTTTAGGAATCATTGAGGTAGAAAAGTGAGGGCAAAAGACAGAGGCCCAGGGATTAAATTGGAAACACCAAGTGTAATTTTTTTTTTTAAGACAGGCCTTACATGACTGCATTTATATGTATGGAGGGAAGAACTCCTATTAGAAGGAATAGATTGATATCCTAGAGGGAAATAAAGTACTTATCAGGTCTCTGAAGTGGAAACCAGGATACATCCTAATAACTGTTGATGAATGACGTTATCCTTCTTCCTCTGAGATTGGGGAAACTGGGTTGAGAGCAATAGAGATAAGATCAGGGTTTTTACATGGAAGACAGGAAATTTTACGCTTTAGCATCCATTTTATCAGGGCAGGAAAAACCCTTGTTTTCTTTGTTAATGATAGGGGGAAACTGCATAGGGCATGTGAGTGAAGACTTTAGATTTTTTAATAATGTTGGGGAACAATCAGAATTCTGTTCGGTAATATTTAGGAGGTTACTGGAGCAATGCTGAAAAGCCTTGCTGAGGTTGAAATCATGTATTGGCTCATTCTTTACATCTCTCAGCAGCTTAGGTATAAAAATAAAGGTGCTGGAATGTGTGGTGGGAAATATGAAAATAAGTAAAAAGTTTTAGAGTTGAAACATGCCTTTCACATCCGTCCTATATATAAAAAGTTATGTATATTTTCTTTTTTAGAAAAAAGCAACTTCCTTTCTTACCTTGAGTCACTTGCTTAGAAAGAAGTAGCCCCACTGGCTGAATAGTATGTATTCTACCCATTGGGTGGAAAAATTTGTTTGTACAAGTTCAGCTACAAACCTTGAACAACTCCAGGTTAATCAATGAGACAAAATCACTCTTCTTTTCAACTTTAATAAAAATATAAACTGTATGTGTAAAAACGTAACTAAATCATGTGATAATGTGATGAAATGAAACCCTAAGGTGCCTGCTTTGTCTCTATAAAAAACTGTCTAATTAACTTAGCTAAGAACTTTCTCCATCTTTGCCATAATCAAGTTCTGCTGCAGTTCTATAGTAAGAAGCTGTCTCCAGATGGTGTATCACTCAATTTCAAGAATCTTACAAGATGTTAGAATTGACTGTAGCTGAAGGTTTGCACAGGGAGTGTGGAAGAAAGAGAAAGGGGCAAGAAAATGTAATGTGTTTGCAAATATAGGAATGAAAGAATCTACCACAGGGGTAAGCTTCGAGAGTGAGGTCAAAAATAGGAGTTAGGACAGGAAAAAGGTCGGAAAATTGTTGAAATGCATGAGCTGAAAGAACATCCAAACTGTATAATAGCTCTTTATAACTAGCATTATTTCAAAAAGGAATGGGTTACTTGGGAAGCAATGCATTTGCTGGTATTGAACTAAGAGGGAGAAAGCAGAGGTTATCTTATGCATGTGACTATGTACCTGTTAAAAGATGAGCCAGAATGGGGCTGGATGAGGATATTTGATCTCTGATGCTCCTTTCCAAACCAAGATTCCAGAATGGTTCCTCAGTTCCTCATACTCTGAGATATTATTTGTAAGCCCTTTCTTGTATTTCAAATCAGCATATACTTACATTTTGCCTTAACCAGTCAGAACCATTGTTCTTTTTATGACATATAATATTAGCTATTAAATCTTTTTAAGATGAGAATAGAATGCAACTGAGAATATATATGTTCAAAAATATCCGGAGAAGATTCTACAGAGTTTCGTGTTGATTCTCCTTGGTTGTCAACCAGGCAGAGAAACTTAACCATCAAGGGAAGTTGTCATTTACCTCTGAATATGATGAGTGTAATTGTGTCTTATCTCTTACTGACTTGGTTTGGTCTATAACATATGAAAGAAGTGACATAGATCAGTTCTAAGTCTAGCCATTAGGAGCTGCAGGTGCTTCCTTTTCCTCTTTTGTAGCTCTGCTACCACTGTGTGAAGCAGTTCAAGTTGGCTTGCTGGCAATGGAGATGGAGAGACTGCACTTGTAAAGACAAGTCTCAGCTGCTGCCATCAGGGGCTGGGTTTAAACCTGCCACCTCGGGCATATGGGGCCAGTGCCTACTCCTTTGAGCCACAGGTGCTGCCCTAATTTTATTATTTATTTGGTTATTTTTAATTGGTTTAATTGGTTATATTTTAATCGGTTATTATTTTGGTATCTGGTATATAAATATGATGGCAAAACCAGTGAAAGCAGATTAATAATTGAACTGTAACATATCATCCCAATGTGTCCAAGGCTGCATCTTCCAAATCAGAAAATTTTAATAGATGCCCTAAGATAAATAGGTACAGATTTGAGTATATATTTTTGGCTTGACTTAATATTCTATCTGTTTTATTCATTTATTCACCGTATTTCTGACTTGGCTATTACCAAATTTTCCCTATGATTTAATAACATAAGGATATATTAGAGATTAATGGCATAATTTAGTAGAGCAAAGAAACTATAGATCAAAGTAACCACAATTATTTTTCACCTCCATAGTTAATAAAACCACTAGTGCTTCTGAATTTTTTTTAGTCTTAGTTATTTATATAATAATGTAGTTTAACCCAAGTGAAAAAAACTAAAAAACAAAAATTACTGCAGAAAATCAAATCATCCTTACTTTTTTTTTATAAATTAAATAATAGCTGTGTACATTAATGCAATCATGGGATACAATGTGCTGGTTTTACATACAATTTGAAATGCTTTCATCAAACTGATCAACATAGCCTTCATGGCATTTTCTTAGTTATTGTGTTAAGACATTTATATTCTATACCTAGTAAATTTCTCATGTACCCTTGTAAGATGCAGCATAGGTGTGGTCCCACCAATTACTCTCCCTCCACCCATCCTCCTCCCCTCTCTCCCCTTTCCCCTTCTTCTTGGGTTGCAATTGGGTCATAGCTTTCATATGAAAGCTATAAATTGGTTTCATAGTAAGACTGAGTATATTGGATACTTTTTCTTCCATTCTTGAGATACTTTGCTAAGAAGAATATGTTCCAGCTCCATCCATAAAAGTCTCCATCTTTCTTTAAGGCTGCATAATATTCCATGGTGTACATATACCACAATTTATTGATCCATTCATGGGTCAATGGGCACTTGGGCTCCTTCCATGACTTAGCAATTATGAATTGGACTGGAATAAACATTCTAGTAAATATATCTTTGTTATAATGTGACTTTTGGTCTTCTGGATATATACCTAGTAGCGGAATTGTAGGATCAAGTGGCAGGTCTATCTTTAGTTCTCTAAGTGTTCTCCAAACATCTTTCCAAAAGGAACGTATTAGTTTGTATTCCCATCAGCAATGTGGAAGTGTTCCCTTTTCTCCACATCTACGCCAACATCTTTGGATTTGGGATTTTGTGATGTGGGCTAATCTTACTGGAGTTAGACGATCTTTCAAAATAGTTTTGATTTGCATTTCTCTAATGATTAAGGATGATGAGCATTTCTTCATGTGTCTGTAGGCTGTGTGCCTGTCTTCTTCAGGGAAGTTTCTCTTCAAGTCCCTTGCCCACCCTGAGATGGAAATCACTTGATCTTTTCTTGTTAATATGTTTGAGTTCTCTGTGGATTCTGGTTATTAAATCTTTGTCAGAGACATAACCTGAAAATATCTTCTCTCATTCTGAGGGCTGTCTGCTTGCTTTACTTACTGTGTTCTTGGCTGTGCAGAAGCTTTTTAGTTTGATCAGGTCCCAGTAGTGTGTTGTGGATGTTACTTCAATAGCCTGGGGGGTCCTCCTCATAAAGTAGCCACCCAGACCGATTTCTTCAAGAGTTTTCCCTGCACTTTCTTGAAACTCTAAGAAAAGAAATAGCTGAAGAAGTTAATGAATGGAAAAACATACCATGCTCATGGCTGGGAAGAATCAACATATTTAAAATGTCCATACTACCCAAAGCAATATACAATTTTAATGCATT